ACACACACACACACACACACACACACACACACACACACACACACACAGAGAGAGAGAGAGAGAGAGAGAGAGAGCACTTTGAAAACTTATCACACCACCTCCTTCCTCCTCTCTCCCCTTCTATAAAATGTATAGCTCAATAAAACAATAAAAACAATAAAAAAAGAAAGAAAATCTATGACACATATATACATTTGACCTCACCAACAACCTACTATTCAGGACAAACCATGACCAATCACAGCACAAGAAGACAAGAGAGGCACTCAACAGAAAGACCAAAGCGGGAGGGGCTAAAGCTGCCTTCCTCAGCCGGGATTATAGAATACAAGCTGCTCTAGGAAGCAGTACTGGGCACGACTTGTGAGGAAATGATTCAGACCATTACCTGTGTCTCCATACTCTCCAAAGATATTGATGAAGACATCGGCATCTGTCCCTGCCCCCATCACGTCGCCAGTGTATACCTTGATTTCATACTTGTTTCCTGGGAACAAGGACAGAGAAAATCTTGCCTCGTTAGGATCCTGAGAAGAGAAAATTATAGATACATACGCAACTACTGAACCATCCATCCTTCCTACAGATGTCCAGACGATAATGAATTCTCAGCATTTCTGTCATTATTGTTCCTGTCAATTACAGGGCAAGACAGAAGACACAAAGGGCCACCCTAAATAACACCCACCATCGTATCACCCCTAACTACTGAAATGATTCTAACTGGGTCCCCTAAGCCATACCATCTTTCCTTGTCCGTTTTTCCACGCTGTATAAAAATACTGAAGTTTGCCAGGGAGATTGGGTTCTGAAGATGAGAATAAAATTTACATGTGTCAAGGCCATAGACAACCAGAGGCTAGACTAGAATCAAGAGTGGCTAGCAAAATACATATTAAAGGACTCACATCTGCTTCCTCCATTATTGCTTTATTCACTGAATGAAAAGTCAACTCACTGTAACCCTAAACACATCCTCAGTCACGGCCACATAGGATGAGATCAATACAGACTTAGCAGCATGCTGAAGTTAAGCCAGGCCTCCCCACCAGGAGCCTGACTTAGCATAGGGAAGAAATGCCAGAAGATTATGTGTATGGTTAGGCCAAGGAGAATCTTCCAGATTTTCTTGGTTGGCAATAATACTGAGGATTGAGGCAAGTCTCTCTTCCCTTTTCCATCCTATGTGGTGATGTGGGATTCCCCTCTGTATGCTGTGAATATCATTGGTGAATAAAGAAACTGCCTTGGTCTGTTGATAGGGCAGAGTAGAACTAGGTGGGGAAAACTGAGCTGAGTGCTGGGAGAAAGAAGGTGAAGTCAGAGAGAAGCCATGGAGTACTGCTGAAGCAGACAGAACTTTAGCCAGTAAGTCACAGCCTTGTAGTGATACACAGATTAATAGAAATGGATTAAATTAAGATGTATGAGCTAGCCAGTAAGAAACTAGAGCTAATGGGCCAAACAGTATTGCAAATAATATGGTTTCTGTGTGATTATTTCGGGGTTAAGCAGCTGGGAGCTGACTAGCAGCCTCCTACAACAATGTGGTTTTTTAGTTCGCATGTACAAGGAATCTTTCCTACCAGATACGTCAAGCCCAATTCACTAAGCTGATTAAAAACTAGTTATTCTAGGCAAGGTCCTTTTCCCCCCTTCCTCCTTAGACCCTCCCTGCCCTCCCACTCCAGGCTCCAAAGGGGTCTGCCCTCTGTCTCCTCCGACTCTGCTGGCAGCTGTATGATGATGCTGAGTTTTGCAACCGACTGCCTTGCCCTGTCGTTTGTTGCCTGAAAGTCAACTCATCTCCTCTGACACTTAGAAAAGGGATATATTTAGGACTTCCTTCCTCCTTCCCTCCTTTCTTCTCTTCCTTCCTCATCCCCGAGTGCACTGCTGGCCTAAGGGTAATGTGTTGGAATGCATACTGGATTCAATTTCCTAAAACTTGAAGTCCCACGGAAGTCATTGAGGATAAAGGGCTAAGGTAAGCCTGCCCGTTCCCCTCCTCTGGTATTCTCCACAGCACAGGATCAGCCTGGAGGGGGTGATGTGTCCCAGCACCTGAAAGGGGTGCACAAAGGACACCCCATCCCTCCTTGCTGATGAGAACATGGAGCTATCACAGATGCCACAGGCTTCTCCATGATTCTCATTCAGCAAAGCCCACAAAGGAAGGGGCAAAGTCCTCCGATTCTTGTCCCCAGCTGCAGGCTCCAGGAGGAACAGCTGTTGCCTGCCTCATCTTTCTTACCCAAGAATACCCCTTGGGACAGCAGCTGAAACCAGAGCCCTTCAGGAGAGGCCAGGCCCAGGGAGCCAGTGGGCAACTGGCTTGAAACTTGGGCCTGGAGCTGCTGGAGAGTAGGTTAAAGGTAGATACCACACTTCTCACAAGGGCCTCTGAGTCCTGTGGTTTGTAAGTGTCAGGAAGACCTTAGTCCAAGCCAAGTGTCTCTGTTCTTACCACTTCCAAGTTCCAGGGCTCCAGATAGCTTTGGCTGCCTTCTGCTCGTCAGAAAGGCCCTCTGGGACATTGATTGAATCCAGAACCTGTATTTATTACTTTTCCATGGCTGTAACTAAACACCATGACCAAGGCAGCTTACAGAAGAACTTACAAGGGTTCTAGAGGGGTAAGAGTCCATCAAGACAGGGAATCATGGCAGCAAATGGTAGGAAGAGCTGAGACTTCACATCTCAAACCACAAGCAGGCAGCAGAGAGAGCAACCTCGAAATGACACAAACCTTTAAACTCTCAAAGTCTGCCTTCAGTGACATAACTCCTATCTCCTCTAACAAATCCACACACCCTAAGCATCCCCAGATAGCTCCACCAACTGGGGGCAAAGTATTCAAATGCCTGAGTCTATGGGGGCATCTCATTCAAACCACCATGCGACCTTTTCCAGCACCACTTAAGGGGTCTGTACACGCAGAGGCAAGAAAGACCCCTCTCAGTGGTGGCAAAATGCAGCTGGTGGTACCAAGGTGGCATTCCAGGGAGCCTCTGGAGGCTGTTTCCAAGCACCTGGCAGTAAGGAGAAGCAGCGGAATTTTACAAGGACCCAGGCATTGTGGAGCAGGGGTAAGATTAGAGAGGCAAGGAAACATCTCTAGCGGGTGTGTTCTGAATCATTCCAGAACACAGATTTGACATCACTGGGTCGGGTTATAATGAGGGCAAATTTAACTCTTAAAGATTTCTGAATAAAAAAAAAATATCCACGAAGGAATGGGGTGCCCTTTGGGTGAGTCCCCCCCATCCCTAGAGATACCTAAGCAATTACTATAGACCACACAGTCTGTCAGAGACATTGCACCAGAAATGCCACTGGTGAAAGGTTCTGGGGAAGCCAGGCCTCCCTGGCATTGATGGAGGAGGGAAGCAGAGAGATCAAGGGAACCATAGGAAAATCTTGTTGGGAAATACTTCGTAGGACATGTTTTAGAAAATGCCCGTTTGGACATATTTTAGGTGTTTGTAGGCCATTTCATCTCTGATATGATGACTCAGCCCTGTTGCTCTGGCACAAACTCAACCGTATGCATTAGACCAGAGGTAGGGGAGGAGGGATGGCCAGAAGAACTTTCTGGATGACAGAAACAGCCCGTTTGCAAGTGGCAGTGGTTATGCAGTTATGCACCTTTCGATCAGGCTGCACTGAGTTGTCAGGTGTACACTGGACCTCAGTGAAGCCCTTTAAAATTTCAGCAGCTATAGACCAGACCACATGAACAAAATGGGCACAACAGTGTCCCAGTAAAGGGTTGGTTTTTTTTTTTTTTTTTTTTTGGTACTTTATTGGAATCTCAGAATTGTGTGTAGCACGAGTATTATTCTTCCTTTGGCTTCAATCATTTATACATGCATCTATCATTCTTTGCCCACACAAAACAGATGACAGCTAAGTTTGGCTTTCTCCCCCCTTCCCTTTTGAGACAGGGTTCCTCTGTATAACAACCCCAGCTGTCCTGGTACTCGCTTTGTAGACCAGGCTGGCCTCAAACTCACAGAGATCCACCTGCCCCTGCCTCCCAAGTGCTAGGATTGAATGCATGCGCCACCAACCTCAACTGTTCCCTGGTCTCTATGTGTGTGCTCTGGTACTCCAGTCCTCAGATGAGAGTGGAGCTGTCCAGCCACAAAGTGAGCTGTGCCTGCTGGGTAACAGGCATTTTAACTGATGGCTGAGAAGCCAAGGGCTCTGGAGACTGGAAAGTCCCTTCTCTGCATGGGAGGAGCCCCGCCCTGGGTTGGTGATAGACTGGAGCCTGCTCTCCCTGTTCACCGTGCAGGATGCAGCGGAAGCTAAGCCTGGAAATACAGTGTGACACATAATGGCAGCACCAATGCACCCCCACCTTACGCACACCACGCCTTTCATCCCTGGCCTGGACCAGAGCCAGAGAAGAGCAGAGACAGAAAGAGTGAGGAAGGTCGAATTGGATATGAAGAGTGACCAACGTGGGGAAACCTTCCTAGCGACAAAGTATGGGGGTTGCTGCTTGAGCCAGCTCTAGAACTGGCTTGAGATTTGCCCTTAGGTATGCCACTTGCAAAAATTCTCCGGAAACTGACTCTGCCCTTTCAACAGGGTTACCATAATAAACCCATCCTGGCAGGCACTTTGTGCAAGTAAGAATCCCTTCCTCAAGACACTCTGGCGCCATCTGTTGGACAATTGTATTGAGCACACAGACCTATATCTGATATGAAGTGTCTGCTTACAAAGTTGCGTGATGTTGAATGAGTACATCTTAGTCTGCAACCCTATCACAAGGGCAACAGCCTCCCTTCCCTGGAGATCAGTGCAAGTTCCCAACACACAAGGAGCGATTCAGAACCGGCCTTAAGATAACGCATAGCGCCCTCCAAAACCAAGCAAGCGCAGCCCACGCTGTGCTGCGGAGCTCGAGTCCGCTTAAAGGACAAGTCGTGCCTCTTGTCTTGCTCAGTGGACACAAACACATGTCTGGCTTTGCAGTTTCCTCTCTGGAGGCAGAAGTACAAGGGCTACCACCCTTCCAACAGGAAATCTGTCCCTGAAGGCCAGCGGAAGCGCCTGCGTGGGCTTCCCGAAAAGGCAGAAGCTGGCAGGCCCTAGCTGCCTAAGCCTGGTGTGCCAGCCGCCCCCACAGCCTCCCCTGCGCTGTCTGGAACAGTCAGCGCACAGCAGCGACACAACACGTCTCCAGAGAGCACCCTGGCGGTGGGGGAGGCTCAGCGATGAGGAGTTGGCCCCCCAGATCTTGGTCCCCATGTTCGGGTGAGAAGCTGCTGGGCATGTCCCTGCCACATGTTGAATTCAAGCCTGTCTCTGAGCCTTGTGGCTCTGGGAAGGGCTGTCTCACACCAACACCGCTTGAGCCAAGGCTGGAGCCGGGCACGTGAGCAGTTTTTTTTATTTTTTTTTATTTTATTTTATTTATTTATTTATTTATTTTGGAGAAATAGTCACAGGTAAACCTTGTCTTCTCTTCCG